AAGACAGCTTGTACTTGATTTGATTTTTTTTAATAAAATCTATGATGTCTAAAACTAAGCACCTGTTTTTTGTCAGTTTAGTCCAGTGAATGACGCTAAAAATAATTTGCAACCTCCCAATTTTTTGAAGATGTATTTTCCTGAAGGAATTAAGTTCTACTTACCTTCTTCTTCATAATCTACCCTATGCCGAGGTGTGCTAAATTCAAGGTTAATAATTTCTATATGCGTTACGTTGCTCTATTTAAAAAGAAAATAGCTACAATACTTTCAGTCCAGTGAGAAACGATTGCATTCAAGGTTCCGTATTTATGTTTCTACATATATGTCATAAGCGTAATGTGGCATTTACACGCTTGGCAAACCTCGACAAGTGCCCACAAACACAAGCGTCTAAACGGGGTGTTTGGCTTGGCTTGCGTGAGGTTATCGTCGATCGGGGCTAGTGTCGGTTTTTGAACACAGATTAAAGGAAGTTTGCGGCAAGCGTTTGCGATGCATTTACATATTGGCGCTTGCTTGTTCCTCACTGCTCAGCTTGGTATTAGTTGAGCTGTCGGGAATCAACATTAAGTCTCGATGCTCTACTGGTTGAGCTAAAGATTTTTTTTACATACCTATTAAAACGAACAAATAGTTCCCTCAATTATGTTCTTTTTATTGTTGACGATGTTTTAGAAAAGTTTTTTTCGCTCTCTTCAACGAAGATTTTATTGCTATTAGTAACTTAGTGAGATGATTGTAAAAAGGTGATATTAAGAATTTACAAGTGTATTCTATTACGCGTTTTAAAACGGAATCCCAAGAAATGTGTGCAAATTGGCAAGCTTTACACTATTTGTATTAACATTATCTCTTAATTTTATTTTCAGCGGAGTGCATTTATGTCTCAAACCTATTTATATACCAAAAAACATTCATCGAAATAATAAAACTCTTCAGAACATTTTACGTTTTGTAAATAACTGCTATCGGTGGTAACACTTGACATTTGCCGGAAACTTATACTTGGGCGACAGATTATGTTAAGAACTTAAGAGTAAAGTTCAACTTTTAATTTTAAGATGATGATGATGATGTGAATGTGGTAGATGGCGTTGTGAATGTGGTAGAATATTATTATAATTTAAAAGTAATAAGTTTTTTATTAATGTTTGATATTAATTTGTGTCTCTACAAACTAAATGAATAACATACGTAAGTGTATTGACTCGTATTTCTTAATTTTGATAGGTTTTTAATGTTTCTTAAGTGTATTCCAAAATGTTACGTCTTAGGAACTTTTTTCCTTTTTCAAAGTCTAGAAATGATCGTAAACAGGTTTATTAAAAAAAAATGATTTTAAAAGAATGGGCCACTGTGTCCAAACGGCCTCATGAAATAGATATTCTTGTAGCTAAATATTTAATTTTACATACTTTTTTGCTTGTGAATAATTTCAGTCCACAGTATTTAGGTAAACTGACACATTCTCCGTTGCAAAAACCAAAATATATTAGCTGGATGATCTGTCTATAAGCAGTATGCAACAATAATTACACATGGAAAATAAAATCTAATCTAAAAAATTTAGACCCAGAACCGAAACTGTAAAATTAAATTTTATTCATGTGATATTCTTACGTGTCCTAATTTGGTGATAATAAGGGAAGTCTGGACAGTAGACGACTACGTTTCAAATGTAAAAGGAGAAGTACAAGCTCAAAATAGTCAAGAGCACACCGATACCTAAAAAATAGAAGTTAACCATTAGGTGTCCCTGCTGTAAGCATAATGTATAACAGTACAGCCACAGAAGACTGCCTTCAAGAAGTAATTTTAATAAACAGCGGTTCTTACCTCCTCTTTTGTTTTCCGACACAATTCGGTTTGCACAGCGCAAACTATTATCTATATCAAGAAGTTGCGTCTTTGTCGATCACGTAACTCTTCTCTTCTGACGACGACAAATAACGTTTCAAATAGAGCAAGGCTAGGTACTAATCAACTCAATAGTTTAGGCAAAAACTAACATGGGACCACATTTATTACTCAGTCGATGATCTGTAGCGATAGATAGTTTTTATAATACTGAAAAAAAAAACATATAAACTAAAGATACCATTTATAGCTTTGGTTCATTTGTCTTTTTTTTTCAGTATTATAATAACTATCTATCGCTAAGCTCGTGCAGCTTGTGTAATATTCTAACATTAAGACGCCTGGCAGTAACCCACTAAATTTTTCATCATCTCGAGCCCTCCGCGTATTTGTAGCTTCAAACCGAAAGTATAAAGTGGACTTTCACTGGTATAAGTGCAAACTGTAAGTTTATCTTGTAATGATCTTGTGATGAGTTACTGTTTAACACTGTTCAATTAGACTTATTTAGAATTACATATTTCTAAACAAGTTTCAAGTTTGTTTAATTATAGGGAATTATTTTGATATTAAACAGTCTGATAAAATTAATGTACAGTTCACGCTTATTTGATATTACTAGACCATAAAACTTTAAGTACCAAGTACCATCGAAAAAGTGATTAAAATAATGCGCATATCAATATTAATTAAAATCAATTTATTAAGAAATAAATTTAAACAAAAGTAAAAGAAAAAGTCTATTAAAAAAAAGTCAAAATGTTTGTGACTTAATTTACCTGAAGATTGCTCTTTTTGATACTTAGTGATGATGAATCGGCTTTTGGAACACATTCCTTAATCCACTCTGTATTAGTGATGTGCCGGATCGTTAACAAAGTATATCCGCTGATACGCATCCGAATACGGATATTTGGTGTCAAGATCCGCGGATACGGATACGGATACGGATCTTAAGTTTCTTACTCAATCGGAGCCCGTGACCTTGATAGTTGTCGCCCCTTGACGCTTTGCCGTTGAAATTTAAATATTTCATTATTTTAATAAGCTAATACAAAGATGTTTGATTGATCTCATTATAAAGATAGCTCTTTCAGTACCTACGACCTGCCTAGTTGATATAGTATAGTACGATAAATGATTGCAATACAAAGGTGTATTTGTTTTAAGAAATAAAAAGTGATCTCAACAGAATTCAATAGTTTTTCATAGCTACCTAATAACCATTATTCAGACTTATGTTAAATTTACTGAAAACCTCTGAAGAAAAGTTGTTGTTTATAATTTTACTAATATGCATTAGTAAAATTATAAACAACAACTTTTCTTCTGGACTAACACCAAAAACGGAAGAAAAAAAATTGTTTCTCCATACAAACTAACAACATTTGATTGGTTATTTGAATGGAGAACCAATTTGTTTTCATTTTGACGTTGGTCAGAAAAAAAGTTGCTGTTTATAGTGTTACAAACACATATCTAAGAGTTTTACAGTGAATACAAAATCACCTAAATATATAGAATTTCATCTATGTAATATGTATTGAAAGATTCGCCAAAAAAGTCACGGATACAGATACGGTTACGGATCTCTCTTCTCCCTTGGATATCCACGGATACGGATAGGTACGGATATCCGGCACATCACTACTCTGTATACTATACTGTTATTTTGGACTTTCGACCCGAGTACTTTTTAAGTAGATAGAAATGTAAATTGTATGTATTTGTAATCTCTATAATTGTAATCTATATTTGTAATAATGTAATTGTAATCTCTATCAATGCAAATAATAAAGTACAGCGTTCGCATTCATTACAACCCCACCTAACCCAAATGATTCACCAACAAAAGAGGCGATCGTTAATGGTGATTATTCTAACCGAACCCAAATGATTCAATAACAGTAGATGATATCTGACACAGCAGTCAAAAGTACTACTGCCCACTGTCGGATAAAAATATCTTTTTGACCGGTTAAGAGTTTCGCTGTAACATATTTATATTTTGATTTTATAAATGTGTATCATCATACCTTTTTGGAAACAAGGCAGTATTACTGTAAATACATTAAATTATGATATCCTTTATATATTTCAACACCGCCATAACGAGTTCCTGTTAAAAAGACTTATGACATCAAAACGACATTCAAATATTTACTCAACTCAAAGTACTTATATTTTGTCGAGAACTCTGAGAAATTAAATTATTACTGTCTCAAGGCGAGTGAGCCCGGAAGTGGCACCTGACTTCTGAGATATGAGGACGAAACGGTTTTACCTACTTTCACAAATGTATTTTAAACAACACCTATAGGTATGCAGACGAACAGAAATCATGGGTTTTATGTAAAAATATAGTCTTGTTAATCGAAATTCAGTTATTAAAACTTACTAGAAAATGATTGACCATGAGTGAGCCATACTTGGCCACAAATAGGCAGGCTCAACCGGAGTGATACGGCCTCAGAGAAAACCGGTGTTAGGCGATTTTTTCGTTTCTTTTCATCGAGGGAGTAAAGTTACAAAAATTACAAATCAGAAGATGATGCATTTTATTTGATGCAATGAAGACATAAAGTCAAATTCTACAAACAACTAGAACAAGTTTAAATCCCCCAAAAATACGGCGCAGTAACAAAACTAAACAAGGCCCTTTATTCAAACCAAAAACAGTAAGATGAATATGTAAACAAAGTAAGCGTCACTGTTGTTCTAAAATAAACTGTGGAATGCCGGATATTGCAATCCCAGCTCGTCACGGGCCGTGGATCGCGTACAGGTGCCGATGGTGGGCTCAGTGCGATCGAGCACCACGAACTGCGCACACGCACGCTATCTCACGAATTAAATTCATCGATGTTAAACACGATTTAGTGAGTTGGATAACAAATACATAAGAAAAAAAAAACAATTGACAAGACTTTTTTTTTATAAAAGTGGAAGCGTATATATTCAGAAACGGAAAAATTAAATTATTGAAAGTGATCTTTATGTGATTAACTTAAAAATTTTTTTGTGGAAGTTGGATAACTTTGATAATATTTTAAGTTTTGTCATAACGTGAATAGTGACTGGCAGTAGTGAAGTGTAAAAAATCAATAAATAAATAAATAAGACTTCATTTGGTGATAACAATGAAAGTCCTGACAGTTGAAGACAATGTGGCAAATGTGGGGGGTGGGAATGAACCCACCGTAGTCGAGGGTACACCTATTCTGACTAAAGAAGAACTTAACAAGTAGGTATACTTAATATAAATAATTTTAACTTTGTTGAAAGTTTCTCTACGGTTAAGTGATGTTGCCTGCCTATTTAATGTGGGTAAATAATAACTGGAATTATCTTATTTCGATTATTAATTTAGAAGAGAACAGAACCCAAAAAATAAAATATAATATATCGATTCATAAAGTTATGAAAGAAACTTTAACTGCAAAATATTTTTATTTAAACAGCCTTCATAAACAAATCAAAGGTGATAATGATAGACCATAAAAGAGCACTACATTGTTTCAATAATCATGAGAAGTCTTAAGTCGAAAACTTGATGGAGTTCATCAAAAAGTATCGTAGCACTAGCAAGTTCGCTAGGTCAGATGTGTTGGCTGGTTGCCAGAGTGACACAACCGCTTGGAATGCAATGTTTACTTGTCCACCATCTCGCACGTTGTCACGATTCAGGTCAGGATTCCTCTCATCATGTTTTTGTCGTTTCGAAAATATTCTACGTTCTATGGTATGGTTGGTATGATTCGTATGGTCTAAACTTACTCGATCCTCTTGACCCCTTAAATTTAGTTGTTTTTAAAATAAACATATCTAATTTATAATTGTTTCCTCAGAGGCTGTCCTCTTGGAGTATCTCGAGTCACTTCATCGCTCTATGTCTGTGGAGCCCATGCTTTACCTGGAGCAGTAAGGGCTCTACATCCCGGTCTCATTGTGAGTGCAGCGCCAGAGCTACCTCCACCACCAGAAGATTATGTACCAAGGCAGCTTGTACCACTACTAGACACACCAAACTCAGATATGCACCCATATATGGAAAGTGTAGCCGACCTGATCAATGAGGTAAATATGTCAAAAATTTTAAGCATATTCTAACTTTTAAATATCTCTCTCTAAATATTTATAATTATTTGTTTTAGTCGCTCTAATCCTTTGTTTTTCTACAGGTTGTCTCACATGGTGATGTGGTACTGGTTCACTGTGTAGCTGGTGTATCCAGGTCTGTGACACTTTGTTTGGCGTATCTCATCAAATGGCAAAAGATGACCTTGAGGGATGCTTATCACCACATGAAGCAACGACGGTGAGTGAGACCTGCCCACATTCACAATTTATAAATTATAATTTTGGAATTCCATTATTTAACCCTTAAGGATGCATTATTTACGAGGACTATTTAAATAATTTTATCAATGCCGCTATTAAATACCAATAAATAACATTGATATTGATTTATTAAAGTGCATTTATGATGTTTTTTGTTGCAGGCCACAAATCAGACCGAACACAGGTTTTTTTAAACAACTGATCAAGTTTGAAGAGAGACTCTTCTGCGAACCTTCTGTCAAAATGATCTACTGCGAAGCTATTGATAAAGAAATACCAGACGTATACGAAGCTGATTACAGCGGAATGACTTGGTTCAGGCAACGATACGGGCCTATCGAGAAACGTTAAAGTGTGAAAGTTATGCTAGAAGAGGTTATCTGTGATCTTAACGGAAATGATGCATGCATGTAATCCAGAATGAAGTACAAGAGGATGAATACCAATAAAATAAGACTGAGTGCATGAATGACTTAGAAATGTTTGTATATGGATATGCGTGAGCTTATTACAATAATGTTTGTAAAGCTTCTGTAAAAAAGGTTAAATATGCAAGAAGATGATTTGAATGTATTTTTTGCGTCTGTATTTCTTGCAACTTGGTTGATAAAAGTAGTTCAGAGTACTATAATACATGCTTTATTATAAGATATTTAATTTAAATAATGTGATAAATAACGTATTGTTATAAATTAATAATTAGGTGATTCTTTACCAAATAAATTGTATAATTATGATGGGACCAAAATAAATAAGTGGTTAATATTATAGACCGTTCTCTTATTTAACCTAAAACACTAAATACATAAAGTATTTCATATAAAGAACAGAATGCAGTCGAAAGTCTTTTTAGAATGTTTTCCAAATATTCTTTTCAACGGTTGAAAAAACTTAAATGATGTTCTCATTACAGTGGCAGCAGTAATGAGTAATTCATTGAGTGTTATTGGCCTCGTGGCATTGAGCGAGCTGGTATTAATATCAGGTAGCTCGCCTGCTGCTATGAATTATGCCGCCTTGGCTTCCGCGTATTGATGTAATTTCTAGTAATAGTTAGGCTATTTTCAATTTTTATTTTAAAGCTTTATTTCTTACAATATTTTTTTTTCGTCAGTTTCAATTTTAAATGGGGTTAATTTTAATGTTATTGAAAGAATTTTAATCTTTGAAAACATTTGACACCAGTAGTGTAGTCTAGTAATGTAGGATACATTTCATCTTCATTCCTAGCGTTACATTTCTTGCCTATTGGATTTTAGTCTATTCTCTGATCCACTCGTTTCTTTCTGTCATCAGAGTAGCGTCAAGTATCGATCTCTGCATGGCTCTATGTGCAACACGTAATTTCTTAGCAGACTTTTTGGTCCAAGTCGTGCAATGCCAAAAAATAGTGTTTAGCCTCTGGGTTTCAGGTGTTCTACGATTTTTTTTGAGCACATTAATGAACTATCACTTCCGAAGGCTGCCCATGTTTGAGGAATATTTATCTCCACCTCAGCTACCTAGCGATAGATGTAGTGATAGATTTTTTCAACGGGCAGATGCTGATTATCCACCTCAGAGATAATCAGCATCTGTCCGTGAGAATCTGCATATTTGACTCGTTCATATTTAGATCAATCTTGGCTGATTCTCTCCCTGGGTCTTATATCATGGCAAGCATATCAGCGACGCTATTGGCCACCACTGCCATGTTATCTGCGAATCTCAGGTTATATTGCGTCTATCCATCGATCACTATATCTCTGTTCCGCTATTCCATCCTTGTTAACATGTTTTCTAGGGCTGCATTGGACGATTTTGTTGATATTGCATCTCCTTGACGCACTCCTCTTGTAAGTTTGAATGGCTATGTTAGTTTGTGGAGACTAACCGAAGTCATACAGCCCTACAGCTATATGTAGCTGTAGGGCTGTATGGCTTCGGTTGATGGTTGCTCAAATAAGAACTGCCCAGTTTTCCAAGTCCAAGGCTTTTTCATAGTCGACGAAGGTGATGTTTATTGAATTTTAATATTCATGTCATTTTTCAAGAGTAGTCTTTAACGTTAGTTAATGATCGCTAGTGCTGAAATTAGATTGAACCCCTGCCTGCTCTCTTGGTTGACACACATCCAGCATCTTACTCAAACTATTCAAGATAATCCTAGGAAACGGTGTGTAGACGTGTAAAAAGAGGCTAATGGGCCGGTAGTTATATAATTGCCGAATATCTCCCTTTTTGTGTAAGAGAATGATTGGTCCAATCGTAATGCTCTCAATATGCACTCAGTGAATAGAAGTTTGCTCTACTATTCACTGTGCTTTGTACACTGTGCTCTTTATTGAGGGTTGGTACATAATTACATAATTAATTAGTACAGTTACATAATTTCGCAATATTGAAAAAACTTGTGCAAGCAAGAGGAAACATCACCAAAGTACGTTAGATAAAAGCCAAAGCTTTAAGATTTTGGCTTTTATTTTTTACGGAGGATTATGTTTTTTGTGGAATATTGTTCTTAAAAAAAGGTAATTAAAACAAATCTGCGTTTAATTCGGATATAAAGTAAATAATTTTAAAAGTGTCTAAAACTCTTATCTAGGGAGAGGTCTATGTAAAACAGAGGACTATTAAATACTGTTGGTGATGATGATGATAATGAAAAATGTCTTTTGTTATCAGTGTGTTAACACAGCAATTAACAGTTAACCTTTTCAGAAATCTTTAGTAGGTCCGTGCAATGTTTCTGTTTGTAGCCTATTTAATGTACCTATTTGTGTCTGTCTGTCATGAATATTCTCAGTTTCAACCAAGGCTTTTCAGATTTTTCATCTGTTTTTTATGGCATAGGTGGCAAACGAACAGACCGGTCACCTGATGGTAAGAAACTACCGTAGCCCATAGACAGCTACCACTCATGAGTTACAAGTACGTTCCCGCCTTTTTAGTTATTTAGGGATCTAAATAATGCCTCTTAGTGCTTAAGTTTATCTCAACTTGAGAAACATGTGTGAGTTATATACAATACGCGTCTACATATTCTCGCTCTAGAATTTGTACCATGATAAGCAGTAACTTCGTCAAATGCTTAAAAAAAAAATCAATGTCTTTAACAAGTCTTCGCCAACTATTTTTAAACGATTCATGAGCACGTCTATTAAAATAAAGAAGTCTGTCCAAATAGAATATTCTAATGCGAGCACGTGAGGTAATTACCAGTAACATTGAACTTGGAATTTGACACTGAGACCAACACTCCTTGCCGTCTCGTAATTCAAGGTATTTTGTACATACATCTAGTGCCAAAATATATCTCATACAAATATGTGCCTTATGCTCCTAGTTTTTAAAACAATCGTTTTTTTCATTGAACAGCAAACAGGTATTCGTCAAATACATGACAGCTAAATGTATTTGGCTCTCATCCAAACACGATCATTTCCAAAAGAGTATCCTAAAAGAAATTTAATGAAAATATTGTAATGATATAAATTAATAACAGATAACAATCTTAAAGCAGTTCCACTTATAAATATGATGTGGTTAAGTTAAATATGGGATGTCCAGCCACTATCTAGCTTAATATAAATATAGGTAGGATGCCTGTCCCACCAAAATTTATAATTTAATAAGTTCATTATTTTTCTTTTCATAAATCATTAATTAATAAATAATACTTAATTAAGTAATTTTATAAATGCAAATATCAGTTTATTTATTATTGTGTAATTGTCATGAAATTTTCTATACAAGTTGTTAGAACAGGTACATAAAAAAAGAAAGGACAGATGGCCAAGTAAAAATAACAAAAGTCTTGATGATAAGTAAGTGTTTGAAAAGATTTTTTTAGCAAAAAGAAATCATTACCTAACCACTCTATAATAGTAAAGAAAAATAAAGTGAAAACAGAAAAAAAATCTGAAAAGCCTTGGTTGAAACTGAGAATTTTCATGACAGACAGACTTAATATATTTTATAAATGGGCTATCACAAATAGGTATATTAAATAGGCTACAAACAGAAATATTGCACGGACCTATTAAAGATTTCTGAAAAGGTTAACTGTTAATTGCTGTGTTAACACACTCATAAGACTCAAAAGACATTTTTCAGTATCATCATCATCACCAACAGTATTTAATAGTCCTCTGTTGTACATAGGCCTCTCCCTAGATAAGAGTGTTTAGACACTTTTAAAATTATTTACTTTATATCCGAATTAAACGCAGATTTGTTTTAATTTTCTTTTTTTAAGAACAATGTTCCACAAAAAACATCATCCTCCGTAAAAAATAAAAGCCAAAATCTTAAAGCTTTGGCTTTTATCTAACGTACTTTGGTGATGTTTCCTCTTGCTTGCGCAAGTTTTTTCAATATTGCGAAATTATATAACTGAGTACGGATACCTGTTTATACCCATGGAGCTCGTCTCATGATGGACTTAGAAAATAGCTCACAAATCTCAATCAAAAATATACCCGCTGATATTTAGCCTAAATGGATTTTAGCCTAATTGGTGTCATGTCAAAGTTGTATAACCAAATATGACCAAAATAAGTTCGGGAGTTCAATGGTTTTATATTATTATATTTATAAAGCTCAAATTGGTTTCATACAAAACTAATAATAAAAATAAAACATATCAGAAAGAATATTCTACTCATGTCTACGTGACTAAGTTCACGACAATATTATTCCAAGAGTACGACTTTCATATTTATTTTAAGAGAAACAGGGCACATTAAATTGCGGGGATATATCTAGCCTCCTGATACATGGCACAGTCAAGATGTAAAGACCTATACATGGAAATCTATGCAGTGGTTGCATGTCAAAAAGTTCGTTCTAAGTATTTTGGGAATTCAGGTAACTAAAACCACAGAATATTTATATATATTAATGACGGCTTGACTGAACTCAATCTCTTATCCAAATAAAAAGCTTCAAAGGTGTACTATTTATACCTATCCCATTAGTAGAATTAAAATGATATATATATATTGATATGATAATTATAATGATATTTTTAATGATAATTCAAAATTCTTAAAATTTTTCAATTCTTAAAATCTTTCTTTAATTACTTCGTACATTAAAAATATTGTACTTTTTGCAGAAACTATTGACAAGTTCCATTAATTTAAATTTTTCAACTACTACAAATTTAATTAATACTTTATATACAAATATATCAAATTCGAGTATGTTCTCTTCGATGTTCTAAATCGATTTGTTTAAAAAGAAGTTTCTGAAATTATATCAATTCAAAAACAACCTGAAACTTCTATAATGGGATTTTAGTTGTCTTCTTTAGTATACATAATATTTATACTCACAAAACTTATCTGTGGCTTAGATCATGACCAATA